ACCCTATTTGATTCTACAATTGGCTTTCTCAATTTTCAGGATGACTTCAAGTCTACCATCACTATTAACGGATGGGCGTCCCATGTAAGTATAGTTGAGAATTATATTTCCTGTAATCCTCTTAAGCATTAACGTACTTAACATGCCACGAAATTTTTATAAAATTTAAATAATATTATATTTTAAAAGTTTTTTCGTAAAATATACAAATCGACTATATTGATGAAGTGTTGAACTAAACAAGATATTCTTAGATACAGAAAACGTTTCAAAATATCGCTAAGGTAAAATTTGATTTTTTTTTTTATGAAAAGGACTTAAAAAGACCAACACTTTTATATTTTGAATGCTTTTTTTAAAATTTTCCAAATGGGAGTAACAATTTGTTAAAAATTGGTTTTTTCGAATTTTGACTCTAAATAACTCCTGAACTGGTCAACGTATCAACCTCCGGTTTGCGCCAAAGATTTTCTTTTTTTATGCCCTTTCAAACGATATATTACAGTATGGAGGATTCCATTCGAAATTTTTGAGTTGTGGTCTCCCTGGGGCACCCTTGGGGGGGGGGGCAAACCCCCCAACCCTCTTAAAAGAGCAACCCCTCGAAATGATCGAACACGTATTTTGCGATTTTTCACAATTTGAAGACATTTCCGAAATATAGGCAGTGGGGACAGACTTATAGACACCCTGTATACATATAATTTTCTTATATTTTATTAGGCTTTATAAGGCTTAACAAAAAAGACCTTCTTTCTATTTTCGTTAATATGAGGCAGAGATCTTTTATATAAAATTTGAAAATTATTATATAAAAGATCTTTGCCTTATATTAATTGGACATTAAGAATTTTTGGAATTGTATACATATGAATTTTGTATATTATATTTAATGTAATAATTATTTTATATTTAATAAAAAAATTGGGATGTTTTGGATACTTCTCTGCATCATCGCTAACAAAAATATGTGTCAGCAATTAATTAATAATTAATGGCGCTGAATTTTGTGCCATTAAAATTTCACTTTCACCGATCAAATGTCGTTTTTTATTAACATACAGTTGTGGACAGACGATAAGCTCAAATGGGATCCCGCCAAATACGGCAATCTTCAACATATTCATGTAGGGAACCACGAAGTATGGCAACCGGACATTTTGCTGTATCACAGGTATACGCGACATTGTATCTCAATTATCGATTAAAAAAGTGTTTACACTGAAAAAATTGTATTAAATCCAAAAAATTTTTCTTTTTATTTAAAAATGTTATTTATTTAAATTTTTGCAAAGGAATTAATTTTTTTCAATTAAGCAGCAAATATATTTGAATTAGTAAAATATAAAATAAAAGAAAGAATGCTTTTATTTACAAATAGAAAACAAAATTTGTTTTTATTGTTATTATACTAAATTATTTCCTTTAAAAAAATATTTTTTTACTTTTTTGGCTGCTTGTTTCAAAAAC